GGTCTCCTTGTCTTTTTGTTCTTCCTCTTATTGAAACTCATATATGGCTCGTTTAGTTTGGAAAAAAGGATTATTCCTTAGTCTCATAGATAAGCTAATTATGTATAAAGGAAGGTATTCAAGACTTTTATTAATTAATTAAAATAGGATGAAATAAATTAGTAACAGTTAATAACAACTCCCAAAAGTCTTAGCTACTCCCTCTTAATTAACTCACCCTTCAGAAGAAAATTAGTGAAAGTAGAGAATAATTATTCCTTATGTGTAATGATATCTTCATAATTTAGCTTAGTTTTATGGGTTGATCAATTAATAGCCACTCCAGCCAATCAAACATGACCCTAGACTCTAGATGAAAGCATGCTAGCATTACTTCTTTGTGGTTTGGGGTAGGTACACTGACACTTAATCCTTAAATCATAAAAATGTGCACTTCACACTCCAAGTGATGAAAAATTTGCTCTTAACCCCATTTTTGGTTTATAAAATGTGCACTTAATCTCAAGTGTCTTGAGATTTCATCAATTATTTTAATAAACTTGGGGGCTCAAATGCACATTTTACAAAGTACAAGGAAGACTGGAGCATATTTTCCTAATATGGGAAGTTAACTGCACATTTTCAAACCACATGGGTAAGATACACACTTTTTTGTAATTTTTGGGTGAAGTACACCCATCTCAAACGGATAAGTGCCATTTTTCATTTTAGTTTTTAGGATATGTTTAGTTGAGGGAAATAGAGGGAGGGGATGAATAGACTTTTTGACTAATGTAATTGCATTAATTGTTAATATTATTATTTAATTAATTAAAAAAATTATTTTTTTTGTATTAACCTCTTGATATTCGGTAACTACATTGAGTTTTGATTAATTCGAAATTGAACTGCGTTAGACCTCATAAGTTGAAAACTCTCCCAATGCATGTTTTTATATTCAAAAAACTCCAATTCGAAACCGTACTTAAGGAGTACTGAGTTTCACTCAGACAAATAGATTGTTGGTGATTAAAAAAAAAATTATTCATGCCCTCCCCTCCACCCTTAACCCAAAAATATCTTAGAAACTATTTAGTTGAGAGAAAACTTTCACCACTAAATATTTTAAAATTTTTTCCATTACAAAATTATTTGAGGGTCCTAAGATATTAAGGGCGCGGTTGGAATTGCAGTTGAGAGTTTTTTCGTGTAACCACACAGCACTTTTAGATATATGTGTGTTTGATAATTTTTTTTCAAACTGCTTTTTTGAAAAGTTGCAGAAAGTCACAGAAGATCTACAGTAATTTTATGTATAAAGCCAAAAGCCTTATTTTGGAGTTTTATTGGCCGTAACTTTTACGAAAAATACATAATATTTTAATATAATCATAAAATTATTCATTAAAACTCAATTTCATATAATTTAATT